CTGCAACAGTCTCTACTCAAAGTAATCCCGGGTCAACACCCATAGTGTACGTCTCGTCAATAAACTCTGCTACTATTATTTTGTGTTTCCATTACAACTGAACGAACATCTTCACTGAGCCAACGAAGGGGAATTTTGTTCAACTCCCTTTCTATATATTACCTCGAAATCGTACTGTTGCAGTTCTAAACTCCACCTGGCTAATCGACCTGACGGGTTTTTAAGGTTCTTCAGCCATTTGAGGGACTAGTGGTCTGATATGACATTAAAATTGTATCCTTCTATATATGGCCTCATTTGCTTTATCCCGTACACGATGGATAGACATTCTTTTTCCGTTGTGGAATATTTTGTCTCGGCGGGTGTAAGGGTTCGACTAGCATATGCGATTACTTTATCCTGGCCATTGTACTTCTGTGTTAGTGCGACTCCAAGTCCGGAGTTCGACGCATCTGTTTGCAGGTAAAATGTTTTCGAGAAATCGGGGCATGCTAATACTGCTTATCGGTCCATTTCCATCTTATCTTCTTCTTCAGAAGCATGTTTAGCGGTCCTGCTATTGTCGAATAGTTCTCTATGAATCGGCGGTACCATGATGTTGATGGCGGAGTTGACGCACCTTTTTCGGTGCTGTAAGTCCGGTTATAGCGTTGGTTTTCTCCGGGTCTGTTTTTATTCCTTCTGCTCCAACCGCAAGTATCTGACTTCTGACTGGCAAAACGTGCATTTCTCAAAGTTCAGCTGTAATCTGGCTTCTTTCAGTCTTCGGAAGACTTCATGTAGGTGATTGAAATACTCTTGGAGCGTTTTAGATATTACTACGATATCATCCAAGCAGGCAAACGCGAATTCCATATCGGGAGGAATTACCTTATCCAGTAGGCGTTGGAAAGTGGCTCCTGCGGAATACAGCCCAAATGGGGTGGTTTTGAACTGAAAATGGCCTTTTCCGGGTACGCTGAATGCTGTCACTGGGCCGCTAGTTTCTTCTAGGGCTATTTGAAAATATCCCTGTTTCAAATCGAGGGTTGATATAAAATTTGCCTCCTTAAGTCTATCCAGAATTTCCGATATTCTGGGTAACGGATATGCGTCCTTATCTGATAGTTCGTTGACTTTTCTAAAGTCAATGCAAAACCTGTACGAGTTATCCTTTTTCCTAACTAGTACAATCGGTGAACTCCAACCACTTGTGGAGGGTTCGATGGTTCCTTCTTTTAACGTCTTGTCCACTTCTTGGTTGATGATCTGCAACATTGCGGGATTGTGCCGCCTATAAGGCTGTTTGACTGGATCGCACTTTTTCTTCAATTTTATTTCGTGTTTTATTAGGTTGGTGGGTACCGTTATGTTCTCAAACTCCCTTAGTTCTTTTCTTAGGAACCTTTCTAACTCTGTATTTTTAGTGGAGTCTTTTAAAGTATTACATGCCTCTTCTTGATGTTGTACGTATTGTTTGGTCGTATGTTTGTCGAATTTAAGTTCGATAGAATAATTCGTGAGAAATTCCACTCCTAGTAAGGCATCTTCTGTCAACCCTGGCATTACTATGAATGTTTGTCGGGTTTGTAACGTATCGATCTCGCATTCAATTGTCAACTTCTGGTTAAGCTCCATTGACGCTCCATTTGCTAGTCTTGTTCTCCCGCTGTAGCTATCTAGAGAGTCCCTGTATGTCTAAGCTATTCTATCCCCGACGTAATTTTTAGTGGTTCCTGTGTCGATGAGCGCTCTGTAAGTTCTTTGCCCTCTTTTCAGTGATGCGAACAGTCGAATGTCATCGCTTGCTGGCTGTGTAACGGCGAAAACGAATGGAGTCGAATCTCGTCTTGCAGACTGGGACGACTCCTTGTTTCTCCAGTCTGTGATTCGTTTCCCTGACGCCTAAAACATCAGTCGCTGCTGTAAACCCCTTCTCTACCGCAATGCGAACAAAACTTTTTCCATGGGTTTTTGCAGTTTTTACGGTTGTGACCTGGCATCTTGCATCTAAAGCATGTCGTTTTGACATCGTACTTTGCTTGGTCCGTACGTCTCCCGTTTCCACGGTAACTCTGATTTGATCGGGTCTTTTCGTCTTCTAAAGCTTCGTATTCTTGGGCTAAATCTTGTAACTCGGCCAAGTTTTCAAAATCCCGGCGGCAAGCATAAAGCTTATATTCTGGTAATAAATATTTGTATATCCTTTTGAGTTTTTGGTTTCTGGAAAACGATCCTTCTCGTCTGATTAATGTTTGAATCTCCGTGATATATCTATCTACTGGTTCGTTTTGTTTCCGTTTTCTGTTCCGAATTTGCTCCTCTAGTTGTATCAAATATCCCCTGGGGTAGAAAGCTTTTTTAAAATCTTCGCTGAAATCTGTCCATGACTTCCAATTTTTGTTATTGTTTCTGTACAATAACAAAGCGTGGTCTCCTAATAATTCTGGTAATGCTCTCAGTAGATCTTGTTTATCGATCTCGTAGGCCAAGCTTAATTCGTCTATCCTCTCTAAGAATTCTATTGCATCCGAATGTTTCTTGTCGAAGTGTGTGTTCCACCTTCGTACTTGATTTAGCAATTCTGATTGCCCCATTTGTTTCGTTATTGTTAACTCCTGTAATTGTCTTCGGATGCCCGAAATTTCCTGGGTCAGTATGTCGGTTTCTGTTCCCTTGGAAGTTTTTTCTTTTGGAATTGTTCCTGTCGCTTCCTCGCGATTTTTAAAATAGGTTCTGAGTCGTACTCTCAATTCGTCGACAGTTCCCCTGGGATCTAAGCCGAATTTTTCGGCCTCGCTCTGCAATTCCTCTTTGCAAAGTCGGTTTATCCACGATGTACCTGTTACTGAGTCTGTGTCTTTATCTGTCGGCATGTTACTAATTTTCGGTAGCTTTTCACAATTCCTCAATTTTACTTGGGCGCCAATTTGTAACGGGTAGCTCTTTCAGGACGACAGACTCAGTAAAACACAGGTTGAAATAAAAATGTATCTATTAACTTAACGTATGTACAATAAAAATAAAACGAATCCTTCGTCCCCGTCTGGATACCGCGATGAAGGAATCCCCGGGGAACGTCTATAAAAGAAAGAAAAAGTTATTATTAATAACAAAACAAATAAAATAGGTGAAGTCAATCGCACGCAGACTTATACTCGCTTCCGCTTCAATTCAGCGGGAGCTACGAACACACTCGCAAACTAAATAATCGGCTATGCAGGCCCCGCGGTAAAGTTCAATACACGATACCGATGGTTTCTGCTTGGTTAAGGACAGAGTATGATCCTCAATACGGAAATATCTCTGTCCGGGTTGGCTCACCAGTTGAGTACACTGGCGAATCGAGGAGCCTAGAGCGCTAGCTGCAAGACTGACTGACTAATGCCGCTCCGAATCCCACTCACCATCTCGCTGAAGAGGTGGATGCGTCAACCTTGACACTCCCACGGTTCAAACTGTTAAACGATGAGAACATCGTTACAAACTGTCGCCAAAACAAAAATGGAATTGGAAAGTTGCAATGAATCAGATGAAAGTAGAGATCAAAATTTGGATGACTTTTTTGATTTCAGCAATTTTCGAGACCAGCAAGTGGACAACAGCTGTACTATTAATTATACATAGAATGAACAGGGTTAAACATCAATAATAAAACTTTAAAAGTACAGTTTGAGTTGCTAAGATATTTGGAGGACAAAAGAACCAATTTGAACATCTTAAATGAATACAAATCTTTTTCTCTTTTGCAACTATGATCGATACGCCTAAAAGAAAAGCTTTAAGCGATGAACATTTTGAGGTATTGGTACTTACAAAGGCAAATTCAAAGGCACTTCACTCTTGACTTCGTCAGCAATTGGAATACTTTCTGTATTAGTACGTTTTTATTTTAATTTAATGTTTTATTATTCATAAACAATAAACAATTTTTTGAGTACTTTCTGATTTCTTTCTCGATCATTTAATGTATTTTTATTATTATATACTTATTACATTAAAAATACATGCTCATCATATAGTTCTAATACTAATAAGTTATGTCTTTCTTAAAAAAAAGTATCCTTCAAAGTATCCTAGGAAGTATCCGAAAAAAATATCCGGATACTTGTATCCGAATACATTTTTAAATGAAAGTATTCATACTTTTTTAAAAAGTATCCGGATACTTTTTTTCAGTATCCGACCCAACTCTGCTAACTATTTATTTGTGAATATAAAACCTTTATACCTTATCACAATAGGATTTTAATTTTGCAAGTAAAAACTTTTGAAAAAAGGTTTTTAATTCACCTTAATTACCGTAATTATGGCTTAATTCATTTGCTATCAATATGATGTTTACTTGTTGATAATCAAATGAATACCTACTAAAATTTTGTTTAATGATCATTATTATCACATTTAACCTTCTTATTCCTTGGTTAATAAAAACCTTGTTTCGATTTTATTTAATTTTTTTTCATTTGATTTGATTTTACTTATTTTATTTAATTTTACTTGATTTTAATTAATTTTATTTAATTTGATTTTTTACGTTTGTGATGACGTTTGTGTATGGCAAATGAAAAGTTCCTCCAAACCGCCTCATTAACATATATCTTTCCATCTGATATGTTGAAATTTCATCGTTATTATTTTGCGCTTCAATACTAAATACAACCATTTTGTTGTAACAATCTATCAATACTGACGTTTATTTTGTTGATAATAGCTTTCATTTGTTAATTATAGTAACGGCGCCATCTATTAGTTATATGGCGATTTAAAATTACGGAAGACAAAAAAAAACTGTTTTTTTACGTCCTTCCGTTCAATTTTTTGATTTTTTTAATATAATTTCTATACAAACTCCTGATAATCAAAAACACAACAAAAAAAGAATTACCAAATTTCGTTCTAAAGTTATGCTTGTGCAAACATTTCGGCGTTCATTTTTATTTATATAGCTTAGAACAAATAGAAACCATATCTTCATTTATCTAAATACATCGTGTATTTATTTATGTTTTTTTTTTTAGGAAGCGAGTTTATTCTGTTTTCCGAAAATGACAATATAGCATCACTTGACAAAGAATATCTTATATCTTCAAGTAATAATTATAAAGGAAGTTTTAATATAACGGGTAACTTTTTAGGTAAGTTTATTGCTTAAATAATTAAAATTAAATAAAAATCCACTAGGAAACTAAGTTCCTGTAGCTGGCTGTATACCATATATCACAAAAAATTTATTTCAAATCCTTTATAAAAGGTATATAATTTTAATACTAGTCATCTAGTCAACAACTTACAACACATCAATCTTCACCCCAACATTACTATGCTATCATTTGATGTCGGCAACCTATTTACCTCTGTCCCCAAACAAGAAACAATTAATCTTGGTCACTCTCTTCTAAGAAACAATTCCATCATCCAGTCTACTACTAACTCCATTATCCAACTATTACAACTTTGTTTAGACCAAGATTTTTTTGTTTTTAACAACAAATATTATAGACAACCTGATGGCTTAGCCATGGGTAGCTGTCTCTCCCCTCTATTAGCTGATGTATTTATGGATCATTTAGAATCCACACAGATTATGAAAAATCCTGAAATACTCCATTGGTTTCGTTATGTTGATGACTGTTTAGTCTTCATTTCAGATAACTCCATTTATTATATACCTTTTATAAAGGATTTGAATTTTTTTTTTTTTTTTGTAAAATTAATAACACTTTCCGTTTTGGAATTCGCCGAATTATGTTTATTAATTTGTATGATCATGTATAAAATTTGCACCATAAAAACAATCAGCTTATATAAAAAAGCTAAACAAAGTTTAATCATATAAAAAAAGCTCCGTAAATATAATGTACTCTGTTAATACGACGATGATAACGTCCATTTATTTTCGTCGTAAAAGTTTGAACCCTGGATATATTGACACATTTGGTCCGTGAACTTGTAGTGGTAGACCAAAGACGAACTCGGAGAGAAAGACAGATTTCTTAACTAACTTTTTTATGTTTGATTACTACTAATGGGGGATTTTAATGCCAAATTTGGAAAAGGTAAATTCCAAGAGATTATTGGTGAATTCGGGCTAGGAATAAGGAACGAAAGAGGGGAAAGACTGACGGAATTCTGTCAGGAGTTTAAAATGATAGCGACAAATACATTTTTTCAGTTACCACCACGTAGATTATATACATGGAAATCACCTAAGGATAGCAAAGAAAAAATTATCAGAAACCAGATAGATTATATCCTTATCAATAGGAGATACCGTAACTCCATCAAATCGGCAAAGACATATCCAGGAACAGATATGTCATCAGACCACAATCCGGTAATCGTAAAATTCGAAATCCACTTTAAGAAAATAAAAAAACAACAAAAGATACAACAAATAAGCACTATGATAAAACACCCGAATACAAAAGGACAACTAACGTTGAAAATTAACGAGGAGTTAAGCAAAACAATAATCAATGATAATGAAGATTCCAACGAAAAATGGGAAAAATTTAAGAACACATTAATGATGCCAATTAAAGATACGATGAGTAGTCACAAAATCGATGAAGCTAAGACTCCATGGATTACAGATGAGATCCGGCAACTAATGGACAAAAGAAGATCATACAAAAACAAAAATGTAAACGAATACAAAGCCACACACAAGGAGATCAGGATAAAAATACGGGCAGCTAAAGAAAAGTGGTACAACGACAAATGTTTAGAGGTAGAAGAACTCCAGAGAAATCATGATAGTTTTGAAGTGCACAAAAAAATTAAAGAATTAGGAGGTATAAGACAGTCCAACAATAGTAACACCCTGGTTGATACGAATGGTAAAATAATATCTGATGTCAAAGGCAAACTAAACAGATGGAGAGAATACATCCAAGAATTGTTTGAGGATGACGGGACACAACAAGATAGCATGAACGATTGCGAGGAACATGATATAAGTCCAAATATAACTAAGGATGAAATAATACATGCAATAAATCTGGCAAAATCTAATTAAACTGCGGGACCTGACACAATTCCTACTGAAATAATTAAATTAATATAAGATCAGATCAATGTATTAGTAGACTTGTATAATACTATATATAATACGGGTATTATTCCGAGGGATTGGCTCAAATCAACATTTATATATATATATATATATATATATATATATATATATATATATATATATATATATCGGTTTTAAAACGTTCTCCTACGTCTTCCGATGCCTGGTCGCCATTCACTTCGGTCCATCCAAAGGTCTTCATCTAATTCTCTTTCTCTCATACTTCGATTTATACCTAATCTCCAACTAAGGCGGGGTCATCCTCTTTTTCGTCTACCATGAGGGGTCCACGTTAGGATTTGTTTCGGGAGTCGTTCTTCGGACATTCTTTGTACGTGTCCATACCATCTAAGCTGTTTGGTACTAATGTCATCTACTATTGTGTGTTTCACATTCATTATTTCCCTAATTCTGTTGTTGGTTACCCTTTCTAATCTTGATTTTCCTGCTGAGCGTCTCCAGAAATCCATTTCTGTTGCTTCAAGTTTTCTCTTGCATCTTTCTTTTATTTGCCATACTTTACTGCTGTAAGTGATTATACTCTTAACAATTGTATTGTATATTCTATGTTTGTTGTTGTTTGATATTGCCTGGTCCCACAGTATGCTATTGAGAAGGGTAATTGCTTTTCTTCCCTGGTTGTTTCTTTCTTCTATCGTCCGGTCTACGTTTCCTTCTTGTGTGATGGTCATACCCAGGTATTTATATGCGTCGCAATGTTTAATAATCAACATTTATTACATTATCAAAAAAACCTAATGCAAGGGAATGTAATGACCACCGTATAATTAGTCTAATGAGTCACACACTAAAAATATTCTTAAAAATTATCCATTTAAGAATTTTCAGAAAAGTGAAACAAGACATCACTGAAACCTAATTTGGATTTAGGAATGCCATGGGTACACGAGAGGCATTATTTGGATTTAACGTCCTCATGCAAAAATGTATGGATGTAAACCAACCACTCTATGTTTGTTTTATTGATTATAATAAGGCGTTCGATAAGGTCCGACACAACCGTCTTATACAGTTACTTAAAGAGAAACACATTGACAAAAAAGACTTATAGAATAATAACTCATTCTTAATTATAAGAATAATAACTCATCTCTACTTTAACCAAACAGCACAAGTCAGAGTCGGCAGAGAACTTTCGGAGGAAGTAGAGATAAAAAGAGGCGTAAGGCAAGGTTGCATACTCTCCCCCTTATTGTTCAATCTATATTCGGAGGAAATAATTGAAAAATCACTCGAAAATGTAACAATTGGAATAAAAGTCAACGGCAGACTCATCAACAATATCAGATATGCCGATGATATTATACTAATGCAGAGAATATACAAGATTATAGACACTTTTAGATAATGTAGTAAATGCTACAACAACAAGACATTTTACTGCTCACAACAACAAGACATTTTAAACATAAGAGGAGTTCCAATAGAAAAAGTAAAAAAATACAGATATCTTGGTACAATTATTAATGAAAATATCGAGTATATATATATATATATATATATATATATATATATATATATATATATATATATATATATATACTTCTAGCGGTTAATATGGGCTCCGTACTAAAACGGTATTATACTAACTCCAGGAGAATATACGCCGTGTATATTATTATCTGAGTAGCGCTTTATGTAGACTCCGACCAATACGTCGGATCAAGTGGACTCCGTAATAGGATCAAACATTTTTGGGATCCGTATATAACTTTTCCCGTACACTTCTTAACTCCTGCGATGTTGCCAATAATTGTATTAGTAGTAGATTTTTAAATTTTATAGTTGGTACATTTTGGAACCTATTAATATGAACATCGAGTAGCGTAATCGTCTAACAGTTTAAGAAACTCTTCTGTAAGATCTTTATAATTTTTCAATTACTGCAGTTTATGGCGTGTAATATTTATTTCATGAAGTAGTTAAAATTAGACTATAATAATTTATAAATTAATCTTTAATATTATAATTTTTTGCTGTCTAATTTCAATATGTTGATTTTTAATTAACAAAATATTTGATGCATTAAAGTCGCGTAGCTATTTTCACCAAACATTCAATTTTAAAGCTATTAATATAAAAGTCTAAAAAAAAGTATAAAAATCTAAGGAATTTGATATGGACACACACGTCAGTGTGCTTTTCTCAAGTCTCAAGTTTCTCGAATCCATCAATCATTCATTGTATTTCTTATACTTTCATTTTAATCCTCTCCAATCAAAATTTTAAAGCAGGTTTGCTCCATTAGTTTATTTTTATTAAAAAAAAAAAAAAACTTGAGTGTACATCGTTTAGTGGCTAAGCGCATGTATTGAAGAGCCAAGTTGACCATACCGTCAATTAACAAAATCCACAAGGAAAAATTCCTGTAGCTGGCTGTATACCACGTATAACAAAAAGAGGTTAATCTTTGTAAATGGGTATATTTATTTAAAAAACCCTTAAAAGGGCCACATCAATAAAACAAACGTTTTCGGACTACACAGTCCATCATCAGGTTATTAAAATCGAAAATGCCTAAAAATAAGTATAAACCATTTAGTTAAAACAAACGAGATTTTGAAATTTTGACTATGGTTGAAAAGCAAAAGATGGTTATACTTACCTGTACTTGCTTATACTTACACATAATGCCTGAGCCACCAAAATATTAGGGTAAAAACCTTTTAAATTACATTTAGTTATGAAATGTTGTACATTGTGTTATAAAATAACTGTGATGTTCTATATTAAATTAAATTTGACTAAAGGTAACACATGGCTCAATTGGGTTCCAGAGCCGGGTGAGAGGGAACCTCTGCACTCGGAGAACAACGTGGAACTGATTGACAAGATACTGTTGAAGGATGAAGATAACAGAATGTCAATGCAACAAAATCTATAAAAGTTGTACATAGTATTACTACAGCCAAAAGATTCAACAAGTTTTGATGATTTTAAAAAATAACAACAATCTAGGTGTTGGGATTTAAAAACTTTTTATTTATTAATTTAGGGTATAAAAGATGTCAAATCAATGATGGTTTTATAGTCATGATT